GATATTTTTAATATAAAACTAATAATTTACGTGATGTATTGTAGATAATAAGACAATAATATAATAAACATAATATATATATTATTGACAAATATGTTTAAAAATATAGTTTTTCATAAATTATTTATTACACTTAAGTAAAATTATTCATCAGTAATTCGACTTCATTTTTTGGTTAGAACTGCTTTTCCTATACTAAAAACTCTCACGATATATGCACTACTGGGGTGTATTAAACTTTATGAATATTTAAAAAGATTTTTCCCCTTCATCAACATTTTAATTATTTATAGGTGTATTAGAAATTTTTGAAATATAATTTAAATGAACAGCAGCTTCTTTAAATAAATTTAACGTTTCACTTGTTTTTTCTTGATTGTCAATATATTATAGATAGTCATAATAGTATATAATAATAGTGACTATATATAGAGTTCTCAGATTCTGGTATTCAAAATGGAATTGTCTAAAATTGATCTATTCGGAAAATTGTTTACAAAATGTTGCGTATAAATATTGATTTTATTTATACAGCGCAGATTAATGGTTAATAAATCTTATTAACATAAAATAAATATATAATTGGTAAACTAATTTATTGTTTTAATATGATAGAATTGAATTAAAATTTTTAAAAAATGATTTGAAAATAATATTTGATTTTAAATACATATATTCTGGGAAAGTATTTAAAATACTACGTTCAAGAACTTTTTTCAACATTTTATAAAAAATAAGTATTTGAATACGTTTATTCAAATATTTTTACTCAAATATTTTGCAACACTGTTGATCACATATATAACATATCGGAAACATAAATTAATAAGGTCAGAACACGTGTTAAAAGGAAAACTTAAACGTTTCTTCTATCATATAATGCACTAATTTTTCACCGCTTTTCGACACACGCTAAAAGACGTAATTACTATAGCAGATAAAGTTTCTAATGCGCTAGGTGCAAGAGAGTAGAAAGAGACTGAACTATCTGGGTGGAGGAAGTAAGGGTTAAGGCCTACTTTAAGACGATTTCATGAGGAAAAGGCATCATCGTGGTTTCCGTGATAGCTGAACCGTTATGACGATTGTCCAGGAGGTTAAACATGGCAGATCTAAGGCACAACTATCAAGGCAAAAAACTTCCAAGTGGCGAGTATTTTTTGCACACGCAAACGCGTAATTGTAGTTGTGTAATGTATTTGCAAACATGAAAAATCCTTATCTTTTGGGGAAAGGGTTTCATTGCAATAGGAGCAGCAGCAGCCGTTGTTTCCACGTTGCCGAAGCCGACACTGCCCGACTACTGCTGCTGCTGTTGGTGTTGCTTCTGTGACTGTTGTAGAACTCTAACCGTAAGTCCTAAACAAATGAATGACTAAATCTACGAAAATTATAAATAATTACGGTGCAATTAATCAACCACTAAAAGTTCTATACAATTTCTCTCGCAGTGTCTCGCCACCGCCAAAATGGTGGTGGCTAAATACACACGCTCGCAAATAAGTGTATTATTAATCCAAAACAATGCGCGCACATTCATGGACGTTGTCGACGACGAAAACTTCGAGTTCTGTAATGAATTTATGAAAATATTGGGGAGGGAATAAAAAAAAAATAACTACAATATACGACCAATAGGTATATTACTATAATAATAATAATAATAAAAATAATAATAATATTCGAAATGTAAAATGATATGTGAAAGAGTACAAATTACTTCACGTTTGGGTCATTAATCAAAAGGAATCGCGGTCGAAGAACATAATTATGAATAATCTATGAGTTCAAAACAGAACAAACATTGAAATATATATTATATATTATATTGCTGATATTTATGAAAGCTGTTACGAAACGTGGTTATATTTCCTCACCGGAGGAAAAAATAATTGATGCGATCAAACGGTATGGAATTTAAATTAGTTTTATGGTGGCATATCGATCTATATTGAATAATAAATTGGTTGCAGTTTTATTCTAGAATGAGGCTACTATACGTATAAATATACGATAAAAATTGAATTGAATAAAATTGAACGTTGAACTAATCACTCGTTACTGTTCATTTTTTTAAACTTATATTTTTATTTACTCATTTTTCTGTTGCATTCCATTCGTACTAAATAGTTAGTTCAAAATGATTAAATAAAATATATGAACATAATAAAATTTTATTATTTAACTTTAAAAAATTGTAATTTCTAGAGCAATGCGTTTTTTAAATTTTTATGAGCATATAGTACTACTATAATATTCTTATACAAATTAATGGAGAAATTATTTTCTATTAAGTTTTTACATTTATTATTCAATATTGATTTGTATAATAATCAGTTATGATACTTGTATAGAAACACGAATGCAGGAATGGGCTGGAATTGCATACACAAAACTCCGTCTTATTGCTTGGACATTTAAAAAAAAAAAGAAAAAAAAAACAATAGTTATTTTTTCTTACTGTGTAAAATATTCTTATAAAATACATATTCTGTTTTTAATACTTAGATTGGAATAATTAAAATTCATACAGGTATAACAAATTAAATAAAAAAAACCATTTTGTTTCTTTCATAAAATGTATTTCAATAGTAGAAATTGGGTATTGTAAATAGTATTTTCAAGCAAGTTTATTACAAAAATAAATTATTAAAAAATATTTTAAATGCACAGAAATTGTTAATAAATAATAATAATTTGGTTAAAATGATACTATACCAATTTTTAAGAGAGAATTTCAAAAAAAATAAATTATTAAAATGAATTGCTTTTCTTTTATAGAAGATATTAATGTTTAATAAACCTGTACTCTTTATTTTCTTTAATATATACTTTAGTTCGAAGAAATGGTCTTCAAAAATAGTATGATGTAAGGCAATATTTAAAGTTATACTAAGAAAGAACACTTAAGATTCATTGAAGAAACGAATGTTAAGGTTATAGTATAGAGTCCGAAACCCCTTTTATATTTATAATTTATATTTTATTAGCAATATAAAAGCAATGTTTATTCGGGTTCAAATTATACGAACAAAAAATACTATTACATTATTTAATATGTATAACATGTCTGCTGATCATTTTTTTTTTTTTTTAATAAATATATATATATATATGTATGTATAAAATATTATAAAAACTTCAAACATGAACATATTTAATGAGAGTTCAAAATTTATCTAATCATATATTTTGGTTATTATATGAACATTTTTAATTTTAAAATTAAAATTTAGATAAAATTACACATAAAGACAACGAATTAACGAATAATTTGAAGGCAATTTTATCAAACTATAATTCTTAAGTAACAAAACAATACATTATAATTTAAAAACTACAGTTAAAAAAGAAACATACGTGAATGGTAAAGTCAAACTTAAGTATTTGTCAAATAAATGTAAGAATAGAAAAAGTCAAGAAACGGAATGGTGTAAAATAATTCAATGAAAATGTGAATTTTTTCTTAGAAATTTTTCTATTCAATGTTTGCACCGTGTTTTAAGTAAGTTTTATTATATTAACGGAATATGATAAAATAAAAATATTTTCAATGTTTTTTAAAAATACGTCATCGAGGGAAAATACTTGTAATAGAGGTACTCAAAGTATAATAAGAGCACAAACATCAATGAATGCGACACATTTCTGAAAAAGGGAACAAACTTTTTAGACATACCGTTATTATTGAATTTTTTTTTCATAGTATAGTTGTATTGACTTATGTCATTCTCTAGATGACACGATATTGCAAACAATACTATGAACATTAGCAAAAACCCTATTAGAACTTTCATTACACTAAGGAATAGCAATAGATCCGTAATATATCGAATTACGAAATATTATAGGTGTTGTCTATCTAAATAAAAAATTAATTTTTTAAATTTGAAATACATACTATGAGATTATAGCAAAATATTCACTTATATTGGGACTATCAAGTAAAATAAGAAATAAAAAAAAAAACTTTAAATTACTTTTATTTATTAGCAAAACTATAACTATTGAGTAGACAAGGAGGTCAGCTTTTTTTTAATATCAAATATAATAGTCTTGTTCTTTAGTAAAATATTTTGGTTGTTAATCACGTAAATTATTATACATTAAAATTATAATTCATCCAAAGGAATTTAAAAATCAATAATTTTATTTTGAATGAACCAACTAAGTTTTTATAGGATATTCTGATATTTCATATATCCTTGGGACATCATAATTCATTTGGTGTGAAAAGTTAAAATTGTTCAACTTATAATCATATTTTATTGTATAATAACGCTTTCGAATACAAAAAAAGTTAGTTGACTGATACACTAGTTATAACGATGCTACATATCATACACAGTACTCGTAGAATCCACATAACAAGAACATAAAGGGTGGTGGTCTATCTGCCTCGATTATCCGACTATTTCAATCAACCAATTAAAAAATAAAAATAAATAAAAAATTACTAAAGCTCATATACATAATAACTTTATTTATAAGAAATATACTTATTAAGTACATTTATATTTTGATTAAAAACTATTATTATCATTATGATTTCATAATTGTATTAATTGATTGATTGATTAATAATACATATTTAATATAAATTATTTGATTAATCGATTAAATTTTGTTTGATAAATTGCTTTCAGGTTCTTTAACTTTTTCATTTGTTTCATATTCGTCATTATATTTAATTATAAATTACTAGATATCATTACTATCTTTTTCAGTTTTCAGTTTTTTATCGACAAGAAAAAAAAAACTCATAAAATACACAGTCACAGACAATTGTTCATCACATTATCGACATCATAAATGCTCCTTAAGATGTACTGTCAAAAATTTTCCATTTTTCATTTGCCATATTTTTAAATTTATTTATTTTTTTTTTCATATCAAGTTATTGAATAATATTATTTAAAATTTCAGAAATAAAAATATCATTAACTAATTTTAACTAATTTATTGAAATGTGTATAGGAATATAAAGCAAGAATACTCACCTATAGTTGTCGATGAATTTTTATATATATTACATTGACATGGACCTTTAGTTACGTCAACAATATCTTCATTGATGTTACATTGCTGTATACAACTAGTAGACGAACCACATTCTAAAACAAAATTATTACATCCAAATGTTTAAATATTGATAAAATTTCTTTACACAAATGTATATACTATCAACATTGAACAATGTATTTAAAAATTAAGTATTCTATTTTTATATCCTTTTTGTATTTATTATTCAATTAACTGAAACTTTAATAAATTATTTGCATAATCTATTTACCAAATGTTTTATGACATATGAATAAGCAGTATTTTCAACAATTAACTATCTTTCAGATAGTAAATATAATACATTTTATATTTATAAATAAATATAACTAAAGTTATGTCATATATACTCGTATATATTGAATGCGGAACGAAATGGTTTTGTAAGAATTTTACTATTGAAATTAAATTAAATGTTTCCAAGATCATTAATTCAAGTTAAATAAACCTATTTATTTTACATATGCAATTTTAAATCAGTCAAACTTTACCATATTTACTATACTTTACCATTAAAGATTTAAGTAAAATGTGATTATTTGTACTTTTCAAATAAATGCTTATATATTCCTATAATAGGTTAAAAATCGTGTTATAACTAATAAACATTAAAAAAATCTATTTAATTAATTTCAGCATATACAGCTGTCTATAAATTATTAAAATGATTTAAGTTCTTAAAGAATAAGTATTTGCTTTTATTTATATTAGTCTTAAATAAAGCAATGTTAACTATATATTTGATTTAAATTATGTAATAGTAAAAACGTAAAATAAAATTACCGGGATTTTATTTTGCTTTTTTAGTTATTTTCTTTTGAAGTAACGTTTATAGGTTTTTTCACTAAGGGATTAATTAAATATCATATTTACAATTCGTGTCTTTGGTATACGTATTTGAATATTTAAAATATTTGAATAGTTGATACGTAATTTTATAATGTATTTTATATTTTTGTGGCTCAATCGGATTTAATTCGGAATTTTCGACGTAATAGGTTAAATAAAAATTATTAATTCTACGATTTATTTATTTTATATTTATTGAGAATCAAAATTTTCCAGCACATTAAGTGCAATTACAAGTATTAGTATTTTATTTTTACGTAATATCCACAAGCTTCTGTATTTGTCGATATACAATTATTAAACCATTTTGTATTTTTTATAGATATAATTATTTAATCTATACGACTAATTATTTCAAAATAACTATAAAATTTTATATTTAAATCGTATTAATTACTATAAATACACTAAATAATACGATTAAAATATAACCCTACAGCTATTTCAATTTTAGATACAGATCGGTGAAGAAGTTTATAATTTGTTTTACCAGTGTTTTTTTGTGTCCGTGTTCATAATTTCAACTTAAAAAAATACTCCCACAGTTCGTGTTGAAACTGAAACATCATACAGTCCACACTTATATTTTTATTTCATTCCGTTTTTTCAGCTTCCGGTGGCATATATTATTAGTGGTATTCCAGTGTCTCTACACAACGGTTAACACCAAAGAAAACGGCTTCGACGTTAATTATCAAAAAATAATTATTATATTAAACGGATGACAATGAACCATCGGACTTTTTAGATAACAAAAATAAATTATGAGAAGTCGAATCAACCAAATTATATAATCGCTACTAGAAAAAAAAATCTAAAATCATTATCTCTGCAAATCGTTTTCGGTTTTGGTCTTTTCTGACAAAGACATTATAATTAACATCGAAGAATATCTTCACAAAACCACAAATCCACAATCGATATTTATATATAATATATCCATATTGTTTATATAAAAGTTATCAAATAAATTTCAATAATTTGTCCGCTTAAATTAAACGACTAACAAAAAATTTAGTTTCCTTTTAAAAACTTAAGACCTATGATTGCAAATTTATACTAATTCTGACAGTTACAGGGCTACTGTCAAATTCCTAAAAGAAAATGAGATAGGCTTCTATTCCTATTAGAGAAAACAAAATAAATCTTAACATAATTGTAATAAATTACTGCACTCCTCAACAAATATATCGTTCTTAAGGGATGAAATTTCGTTCTTGAGGTTTTAAACTAGGGTGACCATATTTATGAAAGAAAAAAAACGGGACAAATATGTTCTCAAAAAAAGACAACATTTTTTTTAACTTCAATATTATATGCAATAAAAATAATTTTTAATGAGTTTGATGTTTTAATTAAAAATTGATTTGCATTCTATTTTTGCTGTGAGATTGAAAAAAAATTACTTAAAATATTCTTTATTTTTATTGAGTTGATTATTTAGAATTATTTTAGTCGATTGTTCATAATTTTCTTCATTACATTCTTTGACATTATATTTTTTTGATGAACTGATTGCATTTAATAGTTTTGGTTGTATTAACAAAAAATCATAAAAATTATTACAGGAATATTATTTAAAATAATTTTTAAGAATTATTATTGCTTTGACAATTGGTACAAGAAAACTATTTTTTTCGTTCGTCCATATAATATTTGTGATTGATAATATTATTTCTATTACTGCATAAGTTAATCTGCAAAGGCACAGTAAACGTATATTTCTTTTTAGGCATTTAAAAAAAACAATACAAGTGATAACACTAACGATTCACAACAATGTTGGATTTTTCGATTAATATACCTAATATACCTACATATTATGCCGATTATCGTTGATTATAAATAGTACTGTTAAATAAAAAAAAAAAAAATAGTACTGTACATTGGTAAACTATTCGTATTTAATATCGATTTCTTTAGAAGTCTCACACATGAGTTCGTAGTACATACATATATACTATATGACATGTCTTATTTGTTTTTCTTTTGCTCTCGGTTTACAATTTTTATAGAAGTAACGTGATTAAAACGGGACCCTATTCTAAAAACGGGACAAAAAGCGTCCCGTTCAAAGTTTGTCGGGACAATGGGACATAATGATAAAAAAGGGACAATCCCGTTTTAAACGGGACGTATGGTCACCCTATTTTAAACAAGAAATATTCACAACTTTCTACATAGGCAAACTAAGGTGCATCTTCCAATGATTTTTATCAACCTAGAATCAGATTTAAATAAACCAGATGTCTTCAAGTTAAATGTATTATGCTAATATTACATTGTTGTACTTTAAAATAAAAGTTGAAATTCTTCTTGCTATTCCTCAATGTCTTCCCTGTTAAGCATACGGTTAAACACTAAGGTACTATAATCACCATGCTGTGGTAAAGACCAAGAATCTTAACAATGCAAAAAAAGAACCAAAAACAATGTATGTAAAAAATATGCCTTGTTTGAAGGCTGTTATTCTACAAACTATAAAGGTTGTTCAGTAAATAAAAACAGCAAAACTCGAAAATTTTTATTCTCAAACTATCAGTAGAAAAAATCCTGCACATTTTTAAGCAACCACCAAATTACAGTATCTTTAAATAATCAATTAGCCAAAATGTCCTCCCTTTTCATTAAACAATGACATCCTTACATTCGTAAGGTAATACATATACCTAAACGGACGATTTTAGTATACAATTTAAATATAAACACTAATTAATTAACAAATTGTATTTAATTTAAAAAATCTTTTGAATGGAAAATAACATTTTATTCTGAAGTTTTTCAAAAACAATAAAGGTTTTTAAAGTTGTCGACTACTATTTAGGAAGATAAATTTATATTGTACGATTTATATACAATTGAATAGTTATTTTTATGTATTTCGAACAAACATAAATACAACAACCACCATAGAAATGCGTAATTTATCGTATAAAAAAACTATTTGTAGTGTATGTACCTTATGTAAAAAATCTGAATTAAATTATTTTAAAAAATATTTCTTTTGAATACGTGATTTTTATTATTATATCCGTTAGAATCGAGAAAGTATTTTTTTATTTATTTTTTTAATGTCACTTAATGCATACAATAATAATGAAATTACATACTTACTATTTAATATAAATTTAATAGTTACTAGTACTTAATTTTGATTTTTTTTTGTATATGGTTTGTTTGAAAATAAGGTGGAATTCATTTGAAACTATGCGAACATCTTAACTCAAGCTGTTAATTGATTAACAGAAGTAAAGCCATATATATATTGTTTACAGTTTTAATAAAAAATTCATAATGTGAATGCATAAAATACGTTGTTATCCGTTATTTCTCGATAAGATGTTTAATAAATAGTTACTCTTAAAAATATTAAATTATCATGGAAAATTTAAGAACTTTTCCAGAAAACAAAATCGAATTATAATAAGGCTGTAAGAATTTTTTTTTTTTAATTGTTTGGTATTCACGAAGTCTATATCTGTATAACTAAATTAAGTTTTAATCGATCTATGTTTTCTGTATGGAGTATAATGACAAAAATATATATATATTGTCACAATATGGATGGAAGAACTCAAGAACGCTCCTTGTGCAAATGCAATTTTTGCACTTAATTAAAACGACATAGTTATACAGTTATAATTAGTAACAATTAATTTGTTATGCGAAGGTGAGTCAAAATTTCTGTAAAAGTAATGTATATTACTTGTACTTATGACAGTACACTTAATTTTTAAGAAAAATTCATAGGAAATCATTTAAAAATTTGTAAAACTCTTAGACTATTGAAAAATACGATAAATACAAATGTTACATAATAAATAAATCAAATTAATAAATCAAAAATTTAACTCATTATCAATCAGTCAATTTTTAAGATACAGCAAAAATCTTTATAGGTCAATGTTGATTGAAAAAATCCACATAGTTCAAATTTGAACTCAAAAATGGGGTGTGCCAATAAAAAAAAATTATTTTGTTGTGCATGCGCAGAATTTTTTTTTAAAAATTAATATTTATCGAAAATAAATGTAATTTTATGTCCTTTATGCATTAAAAAAAAACCCGAATCGCATATAAGGTCATGCGTTCGAAATATTTCATGTTACCTTTATTGTAGAACATATTGTATATAGAATAATAAAACCGTATTCTTATGTGATCTAAAACGAAAAAATAATAAATACCATAAATTCAATAAAATATTTTAAACGTTTAATTAAATAATTAATTAAGTTTACATTATAAGTTGAGGAATTAATACTTTGTTATGAGACGGTTTTTTTTATTAGCATTATGCTTTTCCAATAAATCAGTAACATTTGTATTTATTAAGTGAAACAACTGCCGAATAGTTGATCTGTTAAATTAATACTTATTACATATAATTTAATGTTATTGAAATTATTAAAACTTTCGATTTCACAAAATTCATAGACAACTCTATAAAATAATTCATTATTATGTATACAATGATGGTATTATCGGAGTATTTTTAGGTAATGTTTACTCGAAATATTTTCGTTCGATCTCGATCATCAGTAAACACATACTTTGGAAGAAATCGTTTTTATAACAAATAAATATTATTATTTGAAAATGTATAGGGAAATATAAATGTGATAATTTATTTTTATATCATCATTCTAGTAAAATTCTAGTAAAAATTCTAAATAAATATTTTAATTATCACCCATTACAGTAAAACCGTACAAAATTTACATTCAAATAAAAGAAAACATCAAGTGTTTATTTTAATGTTACCATTGCTAACTTTATCTTGCTTTCAATGGTTATAACACATGTTGGCCCCATGACTGACGAGTTAATGGTTTAGGGGATGAATATGTTAAAACTGATGTGATGTAGAATCCTAAGTTTAGAAAATACATTAAAAAATCCATCAGATTTATAATAAATATAATTAGAATAAGTTACACGTATAAATATGTATACAAATAGTATTTTGACAATTGATTTTGTAAACAAAACCAAATTGAAAAATAAAAATAAAAACATGATGTACATTATATTTAAATTTATAAGAGAGAGTATAATAATTTTGATAAATTATTCGTTTTGAATGTCCTGCTTTGAAAACTTGTTTGGACTTAGTCGGTATTTTCAACCATATTGACCAATGATTGATAAATAACATTATATTAAAATCGGCTTAAATTCAACTAACACGTTCATTCATAGTTATAATTAGAGCTCGAATTCGTATGACTTGGCATATTTTTGGCAACCAGAATTATACCCTTACATGATATAAATTTGATTGAAAACTTATTTAGCATATTTGCATATTTTTGGATATTTGAAATTGTTGAGCATATAAATCCATATATCGATTGGTTCTAGATTAAGTAGCATATATTTTATAAATGATAAGTGTAATACTAAAAATTGTCCATATTATTAGAAATTATCAATAATTACCATTAATTGTGTCATTTTCAGTCTACAAAAAGTTATTGTCGGATCATCGAAGGTTGCTCATATTTGAAAATATCAGCTAAATTATTGTTGTTAAGAGTAATCATGGTACTAAAATTGCTTAACCTATATTATATTTAACTTTAATAGATCGAATTAATACTGTAATATTTTTTCATAATTATTATCTTTGTGTTTTACTCTCAAAAGAGTATATATAATTTTTGAATTAATATTAACTATTTTTTTTGCATTTATTTGTTTAAAAAATAGGTATATTTAATACATTTTATGGCTTATAATTGCATATTTTAAAATTTTATAATGCACATTTTTATGAAATTTTAGGAAATTAACATCCAAGCTCTAGTCATAATATTAAAATATTTATCAATGCTATATTTACAGTGTAAAAACATCGAACCAACCACATTCAACCCATCTCAGAACCAAATCAATAGAATAACGGACATAAGATACAGGCGAATTATGATCGTAAATTATGCACACATACGTTATTCCAAACAACCTACATTAATGGATAACTTTTTCTTTTTTTATTGTAACATACATCCGTACTATAACTATGATTGTGTAACTGATGTAAATTAAAGATAGTATTCATTTGTAGCGTTTGTATGCATTATATTAGTTTTAGTGAGCTTCATGTACACGCATGTATTTACGTGAAGGCACGGGAAAAAATAAGATTGTCATAATGTAGTTACGATCATAATTGCAATACTGTCCATAATAGTTATTGGTATCGTTTTACTCACCAGTAGTGACATTGACCACGGGTACTTCGCATTTACCGCCTGTGAATCCGATTGGACAGTTACATATCGCTATCGATCGGCCGACATGTCTGAAAGCACACACACATATATTATAAATATTTTAGAGAACCCTATTAATTTAACTTCTCGACTATTTATCCTGTAACATAGGGCCTGTCAACGGTCTACGTAGCTCGTTTATCACACTTATATATGAACTAATGCTATTTTCGGCCTAATTTGAATAAACAACTCGTGGGTTTTTTTTTATTTTGTTTATTATTTCAACTCTATATTATTTACCCCTGTCCACCCTCCGTGATCGCAGTCAGGTAATACAATTTATTTTATTAAACTGTACGATCGCGACTCAAAGAGCTTGGGGGGAGAGAGGTCTGCCGCTGATGCACAGGTTCTCTGCAAAATCATTAATATCCTAAGTGTCGTCATTAAAAAACATAAGCTAAAAAAAAGGATTCTCGCAACATCGAGTGGTCGTTTTGGTTTTTGAAGGAGATATCAAAAACGGGCCATTGAATATTTTCACCGTCAAATCGGCTTGTGGTGGTGCAGGGAGAGAAATAATACATTTTCCTCCATCAAAAATATAAAAAATAATAATAAATAAACTTTAAACGCGCGATGATTTATGTGACTTGTCAACAGCGTCGTAAATACTGAGCATTTAAAAAGCTTAAGTTTCGGATAATTCCCACAGCGTCCAAATTCTGCATCGTTACACGTGAAGAGGTCCGATGTCAGTCCATTACTATAAATCGCGTCTACCAAAAAAATTCCGAACCCATCAAATGTGATTTAAATCTATTAAGTGTCGACTCAAGTACCTACATTTAAAAACATTTAAAAATAAATGGCACTACGTACTCATGTGCGAAAAATATATTTTTTAATTGGTTGATTAAATTATTCACACGCCAACAAAGTAATTAATGTAGACTAATAGTTCAATGTGATTTAAATAACACTAGTAATATTGTTTTTAATGTTTTAATTTTATATTATGTAAATGATATTTGATAACCGATTAGGCTTAAATTAACTTTATACTAAAATAAATTATAACACAATGTAATAAAATTTACGAGTAAATCACACGTCTGTCTACAACCACATAGTACTGCATAATTGGACACGGTATATTTAGTGCATGAATAAGCCGTAATTGCCCATTGGCTACGTCTTGTGTCAAGTCCTTTCAAACAACATACCACCAGAGCCAATACATTAAAAACAACCCTCTCCTTTAATAAATTTACCTTAACCCCTAATATAAGGTATCTCAAAAATAACGCAGAATTTAAATCTGTTACAAATTAAATTTATTTCTTTTAAAAAAATCTAACAAATATTTCATTTTCTTCTGAAGAAGTTAAAGTTTAACAGTGAAAAACAATATCGGGCATATTACCATCGATATTAGCCCTATAAGTAATTATTCTTTTCATAAATTTTATCTTCACTTGATCACACATTGCACATAAAGTTCGTTGAGGACACGACGAATTTCTTGTTTAAGTTCCAAGACATTTTGAACTTTGTTCTGGTAAATTCGTGACTTAGTGTATCCCTATAAAAAAAAAAAAAATCACACGGCATCAAGACGCAAGATCGAAGTGGATAGCTTTGGTCTCCACGCAACGAGATTAATCTGTCCAGGAACTTCTCACGCAACAGAGTGATTGTTTTTCTTGAAGTGTGACAAAGTTGAAACCAAACATTTTTATGTTCATTTGGTCCAAATAAAATTACTGGGCTCAGTAGGTATTCTTGTATAGTTACAACAAGACTGCACAACTTGTTACACTTCATGAGAACAATCCCTCTGCTGCGTGAGAAGTTCCCGAACAGACTAATCTCGTTGCGTAGTCAAAGCTATCCACCACGTTCTTGCGTCTTGACGCCGTGTGATTTCTTCTTATAGGGATACATTAAGTCACGAGTTTACCAGAAGAAAGTTCGAAATGTCTTAGAACTTAAACAAGAAATTCGTCGTGTCCTCAACGAACTTGATGGCAATGTGTGATCGTGTGATGGTAAATTTTATGAAAATAATAATCACCCATAGGATTAGTAGGGAGGGTAATACATCCGATATTGTTTTTCACTGTTAAACCTTAATTTTTCCTGAAGAGAATGATATATTTTTTAGGTTTTTATAAAAGAAATAAATTTAATTTAAAGCAGATTTAAATCCTGCGTTCTTTTTAAAACACTTTATAGCATAAGCGCCACCGGATAGTAAATACATAATGTATAAATTCTTCAAATGGAATACATCTTGCTATTTATTATTGTTTTAAGGAAATATTTCTATACCTAGATTAAATAGATAAAATAAAATAAAATAAATAAATTCTGGAAATATGTCTTGAATATCATACTCCACTGTAAATATTTAAAACCCAAACATACAGGATTCTCGTATTTTTTTTTTTTTTTTTGTAATACTTCTTTTTTAGATATTTATTTCATTATTTTTTAAATAATTCTCAGAAGGTAACCGTTTGAAATTATATCGATAGCTATGTTCAAATATTTGAATAATTTGATAGCTGATATAATATAAAATTACAAGCTTATATTTTTTTTTAAAACAAAGAGAAAAATATATGGTCACCTACTTAATTAGGAATTTGAATTTTTCACTTTTTCGTATACATTTTTGACTATTATATTAATATACAGAAGTTAATTAAATAATAAATTTTAAAATAATACATAGAATATAGAAAATTATAATAGTTATATAAACGTTAAACATCTTTAAACATTATTACAATCTTTAGAACTGAACACATAATACTTCAGAATCTAAAGTGTTTTATGTTTAACTAATTAAACATATAATTTTTTTAAAATCTCCCGTTTATTTTTTAATTATTTTTGATTTACGATAATTATGTATAAGACTATTTATATCTGTTAGCTGACAGTAGGTGACAAAATTACAAAATAGGTGCGGCGAACGAATCTTACTTCAATCGTTTTAGTTTTAAAATATTTTTACTGAACATATAAATTAATTTGATATTTGTGTAAAATAATTCATTTTATATTGTTAAATATTTTATTTATACATATTAGCTACTAGTATTATAATGTTTATGTATAGATTCTCAAAATAAGATTGAGAAAAAATCAATAGCCAAGACAAGATATGAATACTATAGTATATTTAGTATACTCACATATGTCGGTGTGGATAATTATTATGTGATTATAATGTATTTAAAAGCTTGGTATAATAAAAATAAAAAAATGTCAAGATTTTTAAAAAAACTAGAATTTCGTAAGGTTCTGCTGTTTATTTTCTTCTACGGATGCAATTTTTAGTTAACTGGATGGTTAATAAAAAAACCTCATCTTAAGTATTGTCAAATATAATTGATTTCTTATTTAGAAAATATGTGAAGTAATTTACTAATTGTACTAAGAAAAAATACACTGTTACGGTAAAATCAATAGCATCACTGTTAAACAAAACAAAATATAAACTTACTGCAATTTAATTAATATAGATATTTTAATTTAAACAATTTTAGTTCCCAATATTTTATAACTATACAAGTTAACATTATTTGTACATAAATTGCTTAATCATGGCTTCGTTTTTACGTTATCTATAGCAGATGAAACGTGTTCATTGTGCCATAGTTATAACATGACAGCAATAAATGAAATGATTAAGAAAATTAATAAATAATTAAAATCTATAACGTGAAATAATTATACCTTAGATTCGTATTATTCTGAAACCATTGTATGAAATTTAAATTAATTTTCTATTGCCTATCTTATCATTAATATTTCGGTATTTATATCCAATATTCATTTACAGAACAATAATTTTTAGTTTTTTTTTAAATTGAATAAACCTATGATTAATAATCTTCGAGAAAGTTTATCTGTCCTAACAGACTTCATCTGTCAATTTTATTGAATTAATTCAATATTTATTTAATAATATTGAACTAAATTTAATTTATTTTTATATTTTTTTAACGAAAAAAACAGTTTTTTATTAAATGTTTTATAAACCATGCATTAATCAAATAATTATATAATTTAATAAGACAATTGAAAATCACATTTAAAAATAATGAACTAATTTAATTTAAAAATATTTAATATTATTTTTAATTTAATTTTATTTCAGAAGTAGTAGGTAAAAAAAAAAATAATAATACAACATTATTATTGGGAAAATGTGTAGTTTTTAATAATATCTTAATGAAAGTATTTGGAGATGTTACACGTTCATAAATCAAGAATAGAAAAAATCAAATTATTCCGGTCCACGTAATTTTTTTGTATTGCATATAATATAAGTGGTATGTAACATGATTTTATTTTACGTTTTTTATATATAGTTAGTGACACATAAAATTACCAATTTTAAACTATACCACTGTTTCAAATATTGAAAATTTTTTTTCGTGAAGCTGTGAAACGATTTTCATGTCGGCTATTGATCATGCGTAAAGGCACCTCTAAAACGAAGAAAATTGGAGGAAAACGAGCATTAATGCTTGCTCAGGTGAATATTTCCACCATCCATTGTCATCACTTCCAGGTTATTGCATAGAAAGAAAAAAAAACGATAGGCAAGCAAAAGATTATCGTAGAACCTAACGGCAGGAAAACAAGACGATGTTATAAATGAACGTTCATTTATATAAAGCCGTTCGTCCTGTTTGCCATTTCTCTCTCCCGTATACATATTATGATCACCATTATGGTGTATTATCAATCAGACTAGAAGATTTGAATTGTATTCCCTAATAAAGTTCGCTGGGCAAATATAAGTATTGGTAGTAGATCATACGTTATACTATTCATATGAGGCACTGTGCACGTATTTAATATAGTGTCACCAGATCGATAATAGAATAATACGGAACGTCTATAGCGATAGATGTTTAGGTGAATGTGTGAGAACCAAAGATGTTGTCCCTGATGTCTCTGTGTATGGATTTTAATTTTAGTAAATGTGACAAAGATGGAATGCACAGTTAAACAGGTGCTTGTTATACACACTAAAGGTACACAGTAAATGTAAAACTTTTTA